ATATACCCACACCTCTGTAATAGCTGGAGTCTTCCTTCCTTTATCATATTTTTGGAAAGTGAACAAACATGGATGCAGTAACAAACACAGTGGCAATCTCATGTGTTATTGCAGTTGTACTATGCGCATGGCAGTTGGTAAATATTTTGTGGGTGAGACCAAAAAAGCTTGAGATGCACCTGAGGAATCAAGGTTTCAAAGGAAACAAATACAGATTGTTGTATGGGGACATGAAAGAGCTTTCTATGATGTTCCAAGAATCAAGATCTAAGCCTATAAGTCTCGATGACGATGATGGTGTTCTCGCACGTGTTACGGCTTTCTCCCTTCATTCTCTGCAAAAACATGGTTAGTTTCTTCAATTCATTAAATACAGTATGAAAGAAAAAGATGAAACTTTTGCAAATTGTTCATGTTATCATTGAAATTTGGATTGATGTTCATGATCTTTTGAGTATAGTGGGAGTGTCAATTATCTTATATAAACCAAACTAGTGATAGTTTTGGGTTTTCTTTCTCTGTTCATACGTTGGTACTTTGAAGCTTTAAGGGAATTAATGTCTAAGATATTTTATTTTGTTTTGGTTATCCTACCTATATGGGGCTGATAATTAAACATAATATTAAGATTTGATAGATAATTAAAGTGTTTTATTTTTAATTAAGATCATAATTTTTTTTCGTGAAATATATCTCTAGTTCTTGTTATGGGTCGTTATCAATTCTTTATACTACAGAACTATGTATGGTGTATGTATGGTCTATATATCTAACACAATAAGTCAATAAAGATAACAAGTGGCACGATTCTATGTTGATGAGTGATGACTGATGTTACACCGCCCAAATTAATAATGTTACAAGTAAAGAGGCCACATCACCATTTCTTCACTAATTTTGGAACTTATAGATTTACAAATCATGATAATATTAAAATTTAAACTTCTTATTAAACTAGCTGGCTTTACAATTTGCATAGACCATCAATTAGTTTAGATAAAATTTTGTATTTTTGCATACAATTAAGTGTGAACAGTATTCTTTTAATAGCTACAAGCGTGAATACTTGTATGACTTTTAAATTTCTCACACTTATGAATGTGAGCCTTTTACAGTTCACACACTTGTAAGTTGTAAGTCGAACAACATGTTGTGTTCCAGCCTCCAAAGCCTCCAAAGCTATAGTAGCCATCATTGTTGACAAAATGAAACCTACGGGAC